AAAAAAAAAAAGAGTGTATTTATACACCATACGGGTAAAAGCAAAGTATTCTAACAATACTTACAACGCAGCGGGCAAAGCCGCACTATCAAACTCTCTATATGTAATTGTGCAGTATAATCGACTCATGCACTCTTATGGCATGAGCAAAGTTAACTTCAAACAGTTTCAATGGCGGTTTTTCTGTAAGTGTAATGACGTTGGATGAAGTGATATATCAAACACGAAAGACCGTGTTTGGCCATATTTCCAAACACTGAGAAGAGAGTTGAAAATACGACGCGCAGCGGAGTATTTTGGACGAACTCCGGGGTGTTTGGAAATGTGGTTAAACACTTTCTTGAGTGTTTGGTATAAATTAATATCTTTTCAATCGAAACTAAAACTAAGAAGAAAACAGAGAAATTAAAAACGTAAAAAACCATGCTAATTAAGATTTGATATCCAAACACCGTCACGTTCATGATTTCCTTGATAAACTTGAGGAATTATTAATGAGTTTGAGAGGGTTATCCGAATCATGTTTGAATTTGCTTTAAGGTCACTTCAAAATAGATTTAGTCAACTGATTACACTGTTTATTGAGGAAAAAAAATCCACTCCATGCAAACCATGTCCTTTTAGTTTAGATGTGTTGAAATGTGCTTCTTCTTGTAGGGTGCCCCTGGCAGTTTTGGAACACCGGGCGTCCCTGGAGATTCTGGCCTTGCTGTGAGTACCTATCAACATTTGATTTTCTTCTTCAATGGCAGGTCGTGTAACAATCTGTATCCATTTACTGAGAGAATTAAGTGTCTCGCTCAAGAGCACAACAAATTGGCCCTCAGCAGTAGAACTCACTGAGATTGTTTGACCCAGAGAGCAACACGCTAAACACAAGGCCATAGACGGTGTCTAAGTGATTTAGTTTGAACATACAAGTGAATATATGAAAGATCATATGTTTGAACTAGGGAGAAAGATATGAAGACACGACTGATTATCGCAGTTATATACACAACTTAAGCAGCTGTGAAATTAAAGCCTGAAAAAAAAAAAAAAAGATAAAAATTTAGGCTCGAACGGGATTTGAACCCATGACCTCTGCGATACCGGTGCAGTGAATTTAGCTGTCAAGTGAACTGGGAGCTGGTCATGTTGAACAATTCGACTACGTGCCTGAGTTTTGAATAGGCCATCGCTTATCAAAAGCAACGGCAAGTACCCTAATTGGTTTAGCAGGAGATATAAAAGATTGCAGTTCAAAACCTAGACTTTTATGTATTTTTAAGCCAAAAGTCGAGAACAATTTTAAACGTTTGCGTTTTCGTGTTGAGTGTCCGTTAAAGGCAAACATATCCTAATGGCCTTAACCATTTCCTGAGATAAGCCACTTAAATACTTCAATAGTGAAGCTAAATTGCTCTCGTTGTGATGTAGATTTAAAGTGGAAATGTTTGTTATATAATGATGCTTGGGAAGTAAGAGTATAAGCTTGATGATGAGTATGGTATTAATCGTTAATCAATCAGTCAATCAATGAATGGTTTTTTGCAGGGTCCACGCGGTGCTCCCGGTGTACCCGGACCTCCTGGTGAGAACGGAGCAGACGTAAGTTGAAAATTGCCATCTTCATTAGCTGTCATTGTTGGTAGTAGTAGTAGGCGCCTTGGTTGGCCAAGACTGCTCCTGGAGCAGTCTGGAATGGCTCACCAGTCCGATCCTTGCATAACAGTCTTTTCCGCAGGAAGTGGTGGAGGGAGGATTGATGGCCTGTCATTGCTGTGATTGCTTCCTGCGTTGTCTCCTTCCTGCGTTGTCTCCTGTCCTCCAGCTGTTGGCTGCGCGTTTCCTCGCCCCTCTTGACCTCTTCTCGAACGGCGCGGCGCCAGCCACTGCGGTCGTATGCAAGCAGTTCCCAGCTGTCAGTGTCGATGCCTGTGAGTTTGAGGTCATACTTGCAGACATCCTTGAAGCACTGGACTGGATGGCTAACTAGGTGGTGTCCTATGGCCAGCTCGCCTTTCATGACATCCTTTGGTATTCGACCTTCCTTCATTTGGTGCACATGTCCCAACCATCGCAATCGACACTGTCATTGTTACCATTATATTAAAACAAGATTGTTTTATAGTTGGACCTATTTCGCTTTTTGAGTTGATGACCCATTTTTGAGATTTTCTTTGAGACTAGAATGTCTTCCTCTAGAATACAACACGTTGAATTGAACTGTACATCTCTGTAGTAGCTCAATAACGAGTGCGTTTCTTTTGACCCAGGGTTCGCCAGGACCACCCGGACCTCCCGGACCAATGGGAGAGGCTGGAGAACAGGTTTGTGACTAACGCAATGAAGTGAGATTTTACTCTGTTTGGATGATACGGGCATGGCGTTCATGACTCATAGACTAAAATAAATATTAATTATTGATTGATGGGTTCTCATGTGATATTTTTACTTATTTCTAGGGCGCTCCTGGAGATATTGGCGATCCTGGACCCGAGGGAGATGTAGGACCAATTGTAAGTTCTCCCCCCCACACACACACACACACACACACACACACAGACACACTCTTTGTTTGATTGTTGGCTTTTTGTTTTGTAAAATTAGGCTTCTTTCTCGAGTACTTTGAAGGAATCAAGCATGGCGGATGATAACAACTCCAAGGCATTGTCCCCTTTACCTCCCTCTCCGTCTCCGTCCCTCCCTCAGTACCCCTGGTACTCTTAGATAGATAGAGGCACTCGATCGAGTCCAACCATGACTGGGCCTTACCCGTCCCTGACCCCTTGCCTATTTCCTTACATGCTTCTAAAGTCTTAAATTAACACTTGCTGTCTTTTTATTCAGGGACCACCCGGACCTCAGGGAACAGTGGGAGCTCCCGGTGTCTTAGGAGCACTTGTAAGTAGACGGCTTTTCAGTGAATTCGCGGAAAGTTCGGTATACTCATATTAGACACAAAAGTCATTTACTATATTGTCATAGAGTACGACGGACATTTGAGAACGCGAGAGAAATTTAGAAAACGTGAGCGACAACATAAAAAGGAAACAAAACAATGGCACTTTAAGGGGTGCATGGCTATGAAAAAAAATTGGTCAGCAGGTCTTTGAAGTTAGTTGAAATTTGCCGATTTTATATTATTGGCTCCTCAGAAATTTCATGACTTATGCTGCAGCGATCGTAAATAAGGCTTATCAGACTTTATCGTCGATATATTATTAATTGAAACTGTCTGATGTGAAAAGAATAACTGACCAGGTATTGGGATCCAAGGGGCTGTTAAGGAAAGAACCTCGTTACCTCGGATATTCTGAACGAAGGACTTCAACTGTTCAAAAATTCAATTTTAGATCTAGTGCCGAATCCGCGCAGTCAGACCTTACCCTACCATAATGAGTATGAAGCTAGTTACATGTCATCCACTTAAACAATGCAATAACTCTAGCCAATCACAAAGGACACAAACAATTCATTAAACCAATCACAACTTGAAGTACATGCAGCTCACGCAAAGCGCGGGAAAACGAGTGCAGGCGGGTCACAATTGGTTTTGGTTTTATTTCTGATTGGACAAAAAAGTGGCGCGAGTTTTTTAAGCCAATCGTGTAGTGTAGTAATGTAAAACCAATTACTTTTCGACACTCGAAAGAAAACCGCTCTAACTAGTTAAAGGTCTGAGTGTGAGGACCTTTAGCCTGCGACACAGGGAGTCTACACTGCCGGTTTAACCTGTCTGTGGTACTTCTGGCTGCACCGCAGGTTTACCGGCTGTATCGCAAGGAAGGAACGTTATAGGAAGTGATCTTTGCTAACTTGTTTTCCAACAGGGAACAGTTGGACCGCCGGGTGAAAATGGAGCGCCAGGACCTATTGGACTTCTTGTGAGTATCTTTGTATTAGAACTGCTTTTTCTTACAAAACGCATTCTGTCAAATATTTCAGTCTGAAGTGATTCAAATCTTCATGCTAGTGTAGTATCTCGTCCCGAAGATAAACCATCTAGCAAACCCTAAGCTGCAAGATAGATCGCCTCAGATATTGAGAATACATGACACGTTCGTGACACGTCCGGTAGACCCGCAGGCTGTGGGATGAATCCACAGGACAAGTTAACTTAATCGAGAGATACTTGAATCTGTTCTCCAAGAAATATACTAGTCTTGTTGTAACTCATCTAAAAAATCAACAAACTGATAGCAATTGATATCTAAGTACAAAGATATTTCGACACCGATAAAGAGAAATAAAGTATCTTCAACAAGCGAAAGATAAGAGGAAAATAAAAGAAAGAACTTATTTTGACAATTCAAACCATTAACTATGTTCAAACTAAGCTGCGAAATAACTTTACTGTAAGTGATCGTTTCGACTGAAATATTATGTCAAGTAACCCTCGCCAGAGAGTTTCGTATCTAGTAGTCAAACATGATGAAAATAACAATGAAAATAATTTTACTACAAGCCATTTTGAATTGAAAAATGGCGTAATTGAAATGATAGCAAAGGTGTTCTAAGTTATCACCTCAGTGGCAATGCTGTAGAATAGCTGAGGCTCTCCCTCCCCGACCCCCTTTTTTAAATGATTCGTCATCTTTTGTTCACTTAACAGGGACCTGTCGGACCCCCCGGCCCAGACGGAGAGAGGGGACTGGACGGAGCAAAGGTATTGTCATTTGGAGGGGGCTGTAAAAACTTGGTTCAAGTTGACTAGAGAAGCCTTATGCTAACTGGCGAAGGTGCTCTGCCCCACTTTCTGTCGCAACTGGCAACTTAAAAGAGTGGCTGCCCCTCTTGTCGTCTAAGACTTCTCTCAAACTGGCCATTATTGTATCAGAGAGACACTATGTGACTTAGTTTGATCATTGATGGGACAGAAAGTTCTTGATGGAGTATTGCATTTTATTATCAACTTCTTAGACAGCTTTATCGTTCTTATTAACGTCACGACTTGATGTCTTGATTATTTGATATTGTTTGTTTAGTTATTTATGTATTTGTTCATTCATTCACTCGTTCATTCGTTCGTTCGTTCGTTCGTTCATTTATTCATGCTTACATTCGTTCGTTCGTTTGCTCGTTCGTTTAGTCATTCATTAATTCACTCGTTGCTTGGTTGGTTCATTCATTCATTTATTCATTCATTAACTCGTTCGTTCGTTCGATAGTTCGTTAATTGACCCGTTCGTTCGGTAGTTCGTTCATTCACCCGTTCGTTCGTTTATTTAGGATTTGTTTGTTTCCTTTTGTACATGATAGGGTGATCCCGGTGAACCCGGTGCTGATGGCAAGCAAGGCCTGACCGGACAGCCTGTAAGTCTCCTTTTTTATGCTCTCCCAATTGCTCCTCAGACTTTTTTTAACAGCCGGTAAATGAACAAAGTCGAGCCCTTGTGTGACACCTAGTCACAAAAGAGATAGATAACAATGAAGAAAGTTTTATGGCTATTTATGCTGACTGACTGTTTACATCGTGCACCATAGATTTCATTAGATGGACGATAAAAATCAGAGAAAAGAAAATGAGTCAAAACGCTCTTCAAATCTACAATGCGTTGATAGATGTTTCTAATTTTCTTCAATTTTAACAGGGTCAAGACGGGAGACCAGGGGCGAGAGGAAGTGGAGGAGAAAGAGGCAAACGGGTGAGAATCAAGCTTGTGTTGAAGTCTGTTTTGTGTCCTGAGTGTAGTAGACAGAAAACAGCGAACTATTCTAATTCTAAGTCAAAAGTGTGAATTTCATTTGAGAAGAATTGGAAAACTATCAGCACCACACGAAACTAGAGCTCAACAGGTATCAGTTAAATGGTCACAAACTTGCTATTGAAAGTTAGAACCACCTTGTACAGCACAACAAATTGTACCAAACGAAGTACTGGTAACACGCCCCATTTTTATCCACAGACTAAACGTTAGAACCACAGCGTAAACAGTACCACATGAAAGTACTGCTTAATAGCGTTCATTTGAATGGTCACACACTAGGGTTTCATCCACAGACTTAAAACGTGGTAACGTGGCTGAGTTTGATCCAGAAACTTGACGGTTACTGCAAGATTGCCATTCATTGATGTGAAGTAACAGGCTGGACCAATAATAAGAAAAGCGGGTGAAAATAAGGAAAACTTGCAGCAATTGCAAGCAGTTTTGAATTGCCAAATTTAGTAGAGTGTGCACAGCTGAGATGGAAAATGTCATACTCCGGCCTCTTAAAGGTTTGGTCCCTCTCACGATACCTTGCGTGGCTCTTTTCCACGTATTATGGCACATTGTTTTGATAGCGGACTACCAGCGAGCCATATAAGGTCATATGGTAATTTTTTGTTTCTTTGCTATTCTTTGATAGGGTCCCCCAGGCCCTCCGGGTCCTCCAGGACCGAGAGGAGACATAGGCGAGGCGGTAAGTATGACGACAAGAATCACTTATGGTCTTAAAAGTTGATCACTTCCCACCACACTCTGATTTACAAGACAGGATTGATGCTTGTGCAGAATTTGAAATTGAAGACATTTTATAATTATTACCGTTTCTAAAACAAAAACTGGGGCTGTCAGAGTTTAGCCTACGTAACAATTGTTTTCCAAGAAAATGAACTTGCATGTAATTATATATTTTCACAAGTAAAGTGAATTTTAATCCCTCAAATTTCCTGGTCAGCATCCAATCCAAAATCCTCCTGATCGTTTATTAAATGAGAAAGCCTAAAGTTCAGTGGCTCATAACCGAGCTACCCCTAGATGGAATGCTAGTCCATTTCAGGCTACTTGCCATCATTCTGAGCTATCCAGATGTCCCAACATATCAGCCAGGCGGAGATAGGCACTGCGAGAAGGAAGTATCTTGCCCGCTTCTTGGTCATTAATTAATTAATTAATTTATTTATTTATTTATTTGTTTGTTTGTTTGTTTGTTTGTTTGTTTGTTTTCCTGGTTACTGCATTACAAAACACTGAAATGTTTTTTGCAGGGACTGAATGGTGGACCAGGTCCCCAGGGACCCCCCGGCCGCAAAGGACCAAGGGTGAGTTAAAAGTTTGTTAAATCCAAGATGGCCGACTGTTTAAGACAAACAACTGTTTCAGTAGGCGGGATAAATCGCTGGGAATTGTTACATACCGAGGTCCAATGCAGAAGCCTGTCACGTGACCTGGTTAAACCGTGGTCACACTGTGCAAAACACATCGTCTGTGTGAACACGCTGCATACGGCTAATCTCGTCCCAGATCTCTTTGCCTTCGCCTCCAAGAGATATGGTAACTAGATTAGGGTAAGGTTTCCGTTCTTACGTCATTCACATGTGTTTGTTTCAGGGTGAATCTGGAGCCCCGGGTGAACTTGGAGCTGATGGCATTCCCGGAGAAGAGGTGAGAGGAATGGGACTGAGTGGAGTCCAGTCTGTATCTTTCGCGTAATGTCCACTGCAAAGGGAGAGCGCAGCTTGTTCAGCGTAGACAGAATAGAAAGGAAATGAAGACAAAGCAATTCCTGGTAGCAATAATGATAATAATCTCTGTACGAAGAAGGAAGATTCAGTTAAAAATAAGAGCCCAATCAAATGCAGGACACCTGAATGTTGTCATTGGACACCCGAGGAGTGACTGACTGGTGATCTAATTGTATATTTCGACTGGTGTGCTTAGATACGCTAGAAGGCGATGAGGACAATTATTAATTGTTAAGGCTCTGTGTGGCTAAGTGTCTTTGCTTAGCTCTCAGGTTTCAGTAGCATGAAACGACTATGAGCTTTGCTACTCCGCCGGGATGGAATGCCAGCATTTTTGAGGTTGGCCAAACACTCCACTGCTACCCTTTTATACACCTCGGCTTAAAAAGCCTTGAGAGTTAGTGTCTTACCCAAGATCATATCACAGTGACCCGAGCCGGCTCTTGAACCGGACCGCTCGATTACGGGCTTTAATGCGCTAACCATCAGACCACTATTATTTTGAATAACATATATTAAATGATTTAGTTCTTAAACTATTCACTGTTTGTTCTAGGGACCTGACGGACCCCCCGGACCACCTGGTAAACCCGGCTTCCCAGGCACAGATGTAAGTTATGATGTAAAATAATATACGCACATACGAATTACACATACATTGTAGAGCTCAAATCTAAGGTGTTAACGATGCCTATGACCAAGCAAAGGGATGTCAAAGGAAGATGGACGGAAGGAAAAGTCCGTGCTTGAGCCTGTAAACCCATTGCATTGGCGCTTTCTTGGTTTCTGTAGAATGAAGAGTCAAGGAGTATTTCAACTCTCCCCTGGATGAGACGTTAGCTCATCGCAGGGTTACCCTTCGCAGTTGAATTTGTCAGTACCCATTTATACACCGCAAAAGACGCTGTGAAAGTGACGTGAGACAAGGCTCGAATCCAAAAATACTCAGTCAATCCGAAATACAGTGCACAAGTCATCAGATCGCCGCTCTGAAGATGAAAGTGAGAATAAATAACGTGGCCTTACTTTTGTCGACGTTATTCGGTACGGTCTCGTACATACATCGGTGAACGTATCCTGTTGCACATTTGCGAGACATACGAGACTGGTATTCTCGTTCGCTTCGCTCAGCCGAATAGAAAACATTTCTATGAGAAGTAAAGGGCAAATAATACAACAAATAGTGGAGAGAGCCGCTTGCAACAGTCGAATTTTTTCACAAGAAACTAAGGCACGCTGAATACGGATTACAAGCCAGAGAATACCCGTAAAACTGTAGACGAGGGTTAAACAACGATAATAGGCCATTTCCGCCTCCGTTTCAAAACAAGTCCTCATGCAAAACCTTTCATATGAAAAGGAGTTAATTGTACGAAAATGAACCTGTAGGGGAAACACAATTTCATATGAATGATTTCGTGCGAAGACTCGTTTTTATACGGAGGCAAAAGGCAACTCGGGCATGGCCTGTTATAATGAGAAAAAAAAATGTCTCTAGTTAAATGGCGTCAAGTGGTGTGGTATTCATGAGGAGTGGGTTATTCTAATGGGAAAAAAAATGTAATACAACCTAATTAAACAGCTTAAAGAAATAAAATTCAAGGCAAGTGTTGTGTCATGCTGTGTTTGTAGGGAACACCCGGAATACCCGGAACACCCGGAGCACCCGGCGAAAGAGGAGTAAAGGTAACTTCATTAGCTCTTCATCACGTCTTTCTGATTTATTCCCTCGGCCTACTTCTGTAACAAATGTCCTGTTTAGGTGGGGTTGCTGGGAACATTTTAGCGAGGTTAAGTAACAAGCCTGTGAGGCGGAACATGACGTCGATTTTCTGGGAATATTTAGAGTGTGTCTTCGTGTCGGAGCTACCTTCCAGTTAAATATGTTAAGGCAACGTTCAATTTCAAATAAAAACGTGGTAATACGGCCGTTATAGTTCACATTTTTGTGAAAAGAAATACATATAGAATTTTCATTTCATATGGTTTTCAGTAGAGGGCGGTAGACTGTTGGCAGTCTGTTAATCTCTCGAAATTCAGCAGGGGTTATTATGAGGCGAGACGCTTAAGCCTAAAGGAGAATGGGTCGAGACTACCGCGTTTTTGTGTTCGCAATGGCTAAACACTCGTCCAAGTGACCCTAAGAGAAAAAACCGGCTACCAGCAGTCTAAGGGTGGCGAACAAATCAGTGGACAACACGTGCAGTGTAATTGTTATTAGATCTGTGTGTTTTGCTGTCACGACGTTCTCCTTGTGATAAAGTGGAATCATATGTAACCAGTGAACAAGAGAGGGGGAAAGATGTTGAAACCCTTACAAGAGAGTGTCTTCCAGATAGCACTTGATTAACGTTCTTGGAAAGGTTTATGTTCGTCACAATATTCAGAGGCACACAAAAAGCCGGTTTAGGCCTACATGAGAAACGTTTCAGCCAGCTCGATTCAGCTGCTGCTCAAATGTCTGAAGAATGCATTTGTATTCACGTTCGTCTGATAACTTCAAGTGACCATGTGCTGTTTATCCTACAGGGCGCCAAGGGATTCCCAGGCCTGGCAGGAAACGATGGTGCTCAGGGAGCCCGTGGAGGGCCTGGGCCGAGAGGTGCACAGGGAGACCGCGGACCCATAGGATCGCAGGTAAAGCCCATGGTTCGATTTTGCACTGATACAAGCCTCGTGTAAAACGTTTTTTTGTTTTGTTTTGTTTTTTCTTTTTCATTTCTTTTTCTAGGGCGCTCCAGGAGAAAATGGTGCCAACGGCGATCGTGGACTGCCAGGAAATACTGTAAGTAATGAGAACTAGAAGTATTTCATCCTCAAATCAATTTAAAGGGATTTTTAGCTATGTCGGTATTAAATAACAACTTGTTGTTCTCCATTTTAGGGAGCTGAGGGTGCAAAAGGAGCACGCGGAGGCCAAGGAGTCAAGGGGGAGAAGGTATATTGACTTCTTTACTACTTGCGCCTTAGATTGTAGAGCATACTGAGCAATACAACAATAGCTTTCATTTGAGATGGTCACACACTAGGATTTAATTCACAGACTAAAAAATTAGAACCACCTTGCTGGCATACAAAAACAGTGCCACACGAAGGTACTGTTCCATAGCTTTCATTTGAATGGTCACACACTCGGGTCTCAGCTGCAGACTTAAACGTTGTAACCATCTTATACAGTACAGTAAACAATACCACGTGAAGGTGCTGTTCCATAGTTTTCATTTTCGGCCGTGTTGTGGTTCCTCTACTTGTTTTTATTTCAAGCTTCTTACAATATCAGTTTTCCTTCACTGCCCCTGAAAGATGGCTTGTGAACCAAAGAAAGGGTCATTGATGCATACCCACCCGAAATGCTCAGCTTTTTCTTTTTTTTTTTTTTTTGCTTGAGTTTTTTTCAATTAGTATACAATAATGTTAACCCCGAATCTGATCACCAGTTTTAATCTTTATTTTCCAGGGTGAACGTGGAATCCAAGGGTCGCCTGGCCGTCAAGGTCTCCAAGGCAGAATGGTGAGTGTATTTTACGTAATTATATCAAACACGAAAGACCGTGTTTGACCACATTTCAAGACACCGAGAAAAGAGTTGAAAATACGACGCGCAGCGGAGTATTTTTGAAGAGCTTCGAGGTGTTTGATAATGAGGTGAAACACTGTCTTGAGTGTTGGATATATCTTCTCAATCGAAACTAAAACTAAGGAGTAAACGGAGAAATAAAATCGTGAAATCTATGCTAATTATAATCAGATCTCTAGGCACCGTCACGTTCATGAAATATGCAATATTTCAGAGTACAAATTTTGCAGAAACTATTTAACATTAAATTCCATATAAACGCTATAATACTGGTTTGGTAAATCATTAACTGGTTTCATTCCTCTCCACGAACCCTTGCTTATCATACAGTAATCATAGCAACCATGTATAGGGTCAGGTGGTAATGTTGTATTTCTGTTCTACCTGTCTAGGGAATTGCTGGGGAACCAGGCAGCAATGGAGCGTCAGGACCTCAGGGCGATCCGGTTTGTATTATATAAAATCTTGCGCGTTTTTTTTATTTATTTATTTATTTCCACACGTTTGGTTTTCGGCTCTAACACAAGCTGAAAAGTATGGAAAACCAACAGAAGGATGTTAAAAGGTTGCACGCGTTTAATTCATTGAGAAGTTTGGAAAACCAACAGAAAGAGGTCAAAACATTGCACGTGTTTGATTGGTTGAGAAGTTTGGAAAACCAACAGAAAGAGTTCAAAACGTTGCACGCGTTTGATTGGTTGAAAAGTTTGGCAAACCAACAGAAAGATGCCACAACCTTGCACGTGTTTGATTGGTTGAGAAGTTTGGACAAAGTAAAGGTGCTCTCTATTCAAGCAAAAGTTCCGAAAAATTCCAAACGGGGACAAATGGTACGGCAATTTCGTGGGAAAGTTTCCAGAAAATCTGGAAATTGTTTCATTTCCGAAGAGCGAACTATTCGACCGAAAATTCTGGAAATTCCGGAAGGAAAATCAAAATGGAAGGGAAATTTCCAAAAATCTGAGGGTACCTCGCGAGGTTGTCCTCTTTTCCGAAAATTCTGAAGAATGCTGTTCCACTTGTCGCTGGTAATTTCCGCAAATTCAAACCAGAATTTTTCGTCGAATGGAAAGCGATCTAAAATAAAGAGAGCGAAAATTTGCGCGTGTAGTTGATAGTTCTTTGGTAGAGAAGTTTGGAAAACTAACTGAAAGATGTAAAGACATTGAATATGTCTGGACTGCATACCACATTGATGAGTTCATGTATTTTGAACGTTGTTATTTCAATTAAAAATAGGGTGACCCAGGTCCTCTGGGTGAAAGCGGGCCCGACGGGTTCAGAGGTTTACCGGTAAGTTTTTCTTTTTTTTTTTTTTTCTTTCTTGTGTGGTTGAGCGCTGATTTGAAAATGTTGGAGAATTTTGTAAACGTCTACCTAGAAGCGTGACCGAGGGGTTAATGCCGCCAAACAACTCTTGAGCTAGTGGCAGGCCTCGATGTCGTCCGGTCGTTCGGGACGAGTGGATTTTCCTGCCGGGCGAGTAACTTTTATTCTCACTTGCCCAATGAGCAAGGGCTCAAGCTAGTTGTCTGTCAGCTAAATTAGAAAAATAAACTTACCCAGGGCAAGCAAAATTTGAGAGCTGTTCGTCTCAGGCAAAGCTGGAATTCTTTTTTCGAGCCCTGTACTGGTCAGAACGGGACCTGCACCCGCGAACCACAATTATAAGGAAATACAGTCGAACCTGTAAGCAGTCACTCTCTATTAAGCGGTCAGTTTTCAAAGTTCCGTAAATTACCTCCCTTAATTTCTTTAATTTTGACCTCTATTAAGCGGTCACCGTTTGCGAAGTCCCAACAGGACCTTTTCTATTGTCTTGACCTGTATTAAACACACGAGGTACAACAAATGATTTTTTGTTTATTTTCGCAAATCATTAAAACGCCGGAAATAAATGTTTCTAATTTGAGGTCAAATATCTTTTCAGCACTGATTATGTTTGACCTGTTTTTCTTGCAACCTGTATTAAGCGGTCACTTAGCCATTCCCCGAGGGTGACCGCTTGACACAGGTTCGACTGTATTGACTAATTGATGAATTTCTTGATTCTTGTCTCCTATCCTCTTAACTTAACCACGTGCTAATACTGTTAGGATAGACTGTATGTTTATCACTATTTTTTCTTTCTTTGTAGGGTCCTGTTGGAGCTAAGGGTCTCAGAGGACGTCCGGTAGGTATTTTCACTGTGTTCAATGATTGTTGTCGAAACGAGAAACTTTATTCCACAAGCACCTTCTGCCTTTTGGATAAAATGATAGAAATAGAGAACAAGTTAATCTGACAGTGACACTACATAAAAAAACAAATCCAAATTCATCAAACCAAAAGGAATCGAATCTGTTGCCTTGTTCACACCGGGTGGTTACGCTACCGCAGAGTTATACGAGGCTCTGGAAGCTACGGGAAATAAACCACACTTTCCATTGCAGAAAACCTGAAAGTAATAGTTTACTAAGATAGAAAAACATTAAAGAAATAACAATAAACCATGATGGAACAAGGATGGTTAAGGATGGAGAAGATTATCGCGAATTACAAACGACAAGTTTGAAAAATTTAGGCTTAACTTTTCAGGATGCGCAAAAAGTGATGTAGCTCTTCTTCAGAGAGAAAAATAATATGCAATTAAGTTTTTTTACTCATTAAATTTTAATGAAAGGAGAGTGGTCCTAAAATGGGAATTAGTTTCCCTCTGTGACTATCCCACAATCTTTTGGCGTATATGTGGCAAAGTATCATTAAAATTAAACTGAAAAACACCTCACTAGTACCATACGTGAAGTTAAGGTACTTTCGCGAATTCAACGCGAACGGAAGGATTAGTGTTTCCGAGTGTTTTGCACATCTATTGTAGCACTGCGACTATATAGTGTATCGGTTATATTCTTTGCCGATAAATCTCATGATTTCTCCCTTTTTCATGACAATTTTTATTATTTTTTAATCTCACTTTTTTGTCATTGTTGTCTGTTAACTTCATTTTGTTCTTTGTCGCTTTTGAACAGGGACCACGAGGATTTGCGGTAAGTTATATTCATGCGTGCTAAACCTGCACGGTATTAAAACTGTTGTCTTACCGTATACCAGTTGAGGTTTAAAAAATTACTGATAGTTATGCCTTCAGTCTCTCCAGACGAAACTCTGTAAAACTGAACAGCTTTACTTATAAGCTCTGATCTGTGGAAAAAGTGAAACTGATAAGCGAGGTTTTCTTCCTCCTGTTTTTATCCGCAGTGTTTTTATGTTTTATAAACTTAAGTTGTTGCAATGCTGAATATTACTATTGTTATTTTTTTTCTCTCTATAGGGTCAATCAGGCAGACCGGTACGTCCTTCTCAATTCTAAACCTTCGTCTTGTTTCACTTTGACTAGATGTGTTCCGAGCTGCAAAGGCAGCCAGATATTAACTTGAAATTACATCTACCATTGTGAGAGTGTTCATGCAAGCCAATGAAAGACTTTTTTCAAAGCACGACCCAAACTTGATAAAATTATTTATAGATTTAATGTCTCCGTAAAAATTCATTCACTTTTCATTGCCAGGACAACTTTTTGTTTTGATGAATACTTTGATAAGACGACACCTTAACCGATGCAAACTCAGCTACGTTTTTCATCTTTAGTGGAATATTTCCACCCATAAGTTGAAGTCATTTTGTTAATAAAGTTGCTGTTTCTTTGCAGGGACCCCCTGGACCTCCTGGCGAACGCGTAAGTACTGGGATCTAGGAATATGTTATTGTAGAATTAGTGTCCATACGGCCAACAGGGTTTTTGTGGTTTTAGTATCTCTATAATATCTAAAAATAGATTCAAACCAAAAAAAAAAAAGAATTCCGATGCTTTTTCCCATAAAATCAAGCTTTAAATTTCCCGCTTCGGCCACGCCTAATGAGTTGACCGCGTAATGAAAGATTGGTGACGAATGACGTCACTTCAGGAACGTCTCAAAGCTTCATGTTTTTATTTTCCTTGCCTGACGACCGCATTGCTTCACCAACTTCGGTTTGTTTGATTTTTGTCGACGAAAACTCCTCACCACTACTGAAACAACAATGACCTGAACTAGCAGGATTTGACACTTCCTGACATGACGTCACGACCCATTCAGAAACCCAGACTCTTTTTTTGCACTGACTCACGGTAAACTTCATTGGGCGTGGCTGTAACGGGAACTTAAAAGCTAGATCTTAGGGCGTTAAAATGTCGGAATCCAACTTTTTTCCGTAGAATGCCCTTTTGCACATTGTAGAGATACCAAAACTATAAAACCCTGTTGGCCGTATATACACTTAAAGGCACCCAACCTATCGGTGAGCGCGAAAAATGATCTCGGTTTGCAGGCGCGGGAAGACTTTTCCTAGCAGCATACAAGGGCGGGAAAATCATGTAACTCGCCTTAAGCGTGGGAAACATGTAGTGGTGTGCTGAGTAGAAAGAGCGCGAAAATATGTAAAGGTTGGTAGGCGCGGGAAGACATGAACCCAGCTGCATTCAAGGGCGGGAAAATCATGTAACTAGCGTAAGCTTGGCAAAAAGCGCGGGAAAAACGTAGCGCGGCAAGCGATGGGAGGCCTATAACAGCGACAAACATGGGGAAACTTGCACAAGCCAACTCATGGTTGGGTTAGGGTTTTCACTTAACTGGCTTTGCAAATAACGCTCTTAATAAGTCGCTGAAGACGCTGCTGTCGTTTATGAACCACCTATTTAAAAGCTTGTAAATCGCTCTAGTACCAAGCTAAAATAAGAGTCATTGCAGTACTTATGTAACCTGTCGTGTTACTATTAACAGGGTTTGCCTGGCTACCCTGCTCCATCAATGGTGCGTATTTCCCGAACTGGACCACCAAAAGGACCTGGAGGCGGCCCTGGTGATGGGTTTGAACCAGGCCCTGAAGAAGAAAGTGAAGGTGGATTTAACAGAGTAAGTATGGAAGATATCTGTTGGTTTTTTCAAGTCTCGTGCGCGAACCTGTGCCGTTCCTTTTAGAAGGGCTAAATTGATTGATTCATTGATTCATTGATTGATTGATTGATGATTGATTGATTGATCGATCGATTGATTGATTGGTTGATGATTGATTGATTGATGATTGATTGTTTGGTCGTTTGATTGATTGATCGATCGATCGATTGATTTATTCATTCATTCATTCATTCATTTATTCATTCATTCATTGACGGACGTGATTGACGAAAGTGATGAAAGAGCACTGTTTTGCTGCTTTCGTGCGAGATGCTTCTACAATAAACGATTAGTTGTTCCTTTGATAGTAGAAAAAGGACCGTTATTTTAGTTGCACCTTTAAGGAATAAACCGCTCGCCATGTTAATCTTATACAGGGTTGTTTCCAAGAAATTCGCCGTAACATCAGCTTGAGGATAGGAAAACATTTATTTCACTATGAATTTCAGTGTAATGTAATATTAGTTACTGAAGGGATGTGTTAAGCACCGCGTTGTGTTCCGTTAATCAGAAGTAAATTAAATAATATGCATTCAATTACAAGTATATTCGTATTAATGCCATAATAATGTCGATTTGTTGATTTAATAAAAAAAACTTGTTGCCACATACACAAAAGTATATTCACATCGATGTCTTTATAATGTCGACTTTTGCGGTTAAAATGAGAAGACGTAACCAACTTAATAGACTGTAGTTTGTCAGAAACAAAAGCGGAGCCCACTTTGTTTTGTCATAGTCTTAAAATTACTCATCTGTGTCTTTTTCTTTACAGAAACGAAGATCAGCTCCAAGCGTGGTATGTATAATTTCACTCGGAAATCTTTGTTTTGAACGTAAATTTGCACCCTGCAAAAAAGTGTTGTTATGTATTATGGCAGAGCTTGAAGAATTAAAGAGAGAATAAATGATTTTTGCTGAAATTGCTGAAATCAGCCATAATCAGTTGTGGTTCTTACCGAGTAAACAACTCATCCGAACGACGCAGTATTTTTAAAAGGTCATGAAAATCTGGCGCGCTCGTGCAAATAGCGTATCAGGATAGCTTATGGTGCAGTTTTGAAAGAAGATTCCTCTTCATTTGCTTCTCAGGAAATGCAAGTTCTCGATCGCATTGCTGAACTCGGCGAGACGATGTACAAACTGGAACACCGCGACAACTCAGGATTCTTCCCCGCTAAAACCTGCCGTGATCTTCAGCTTTGCCACTCCATTTACAGCCTGGAGGACGGTAATAACTACCCTCTGATCAATAACTTTAAGTAAAGTATCTGTAGGAAAAGTGCGGTACAACGCTGTCAATGTTGTCGCACGATGATTGACTTATTGCAAGTTCCGGCCCTCTCTTTGTCATGTAACGCTACGCTAGGAAGAGAGGGTCCTCTCTCCCGAGAGGGTGCTGTTGCGTGACAGAGAGTGATCCAGAACTGGACTAAGAGTGAAAAGGTAAGTGGGAAGGTAGAAGGGTGGCTGGCTGGTGGCCTAGTAGGGCACATTAGAAGGATGGTCTTCATTGACGTACTGCTGCAAAAGCAACTTCACGTCTTTCACATAAGATGTATTTTTGATTTTTTTCTCTCTCTTTTCTCTTTCTCTCTCTCTCTCTCAAAGCCAAGCTCAAGCAGTTTGCAAGAAATAACATTTTCCTCTCTTTCGATGCCATTAGCCAATAGAAAATTAAACTTTCCAACCAAGCCTCTAGCATTTGCCGAGCAAGATAGCTGAGAAGACGGATTGTCATACGTGTGTTTCTTGTCTAACAGGTGATTATGACATCGATCCTAATGCTGGATCCTCTAAAGACCAGATCAGAGTACACTGCAACTTCACCAACCAAGCCACCTGCATCAGGCCTAAAGTGAAAAAGGTTTGTCGAATTTTCTGTACGTTGAAAACAGCGTGATTTTCTCAGGCAGTTTAATTAAAGTGAATACAGTAACTGTTGTCGTGGTACCTGTGTTAGAAAACGCTCTAAGATTATCGGACGTTAGTTAAGGTAAAGCGAACCGCCATTCGAAAACGGGGATTCACTCTGAAAACGCATCAAATGTTTCCGTCTACACTTAAATCACCGATCATTTGGCATTTGTGTTTGAGGAAAACTCGGGCAGGAATTCATATGATTATCGTGGCGTTATCATTTTCGAAAAGCTCTATTTTCAAAATGTTTTACGTCCACACTATAGCGACAAGCCGGCGTTTTCAAATGCCTCCGGTTTGAAGAGTGTTTTTTGAAAAGCTCCGTTTTCGTGACGGATTAGTGTGTACGGTAGGCCTTGCCGTGGAAATAAAGCTCCATTTTCAAATTAATTTCTCTTGCGTAGTGTGGATGGGGCCTCAGTCATGCTACTCGTTGTGCACATCAGTGGCGGATCATGATGTGCTCAAAGGGGGTGGGGAGGGGGGAGGGGGGAGGCGGCGTGTGTTTATAAGTTTCTTAGTTTATAAATAGGAGCCAGGAGGTTGGGTTCTAGTCTACTGGCCCCTCCCACATTACCCGGTTTAGATAAGTCATAATTACTTTGAAGAAAATGAGACAGGTCATTGCAAGTTTCTGTTATCGTTAATGCCCTGTCGCTTGTTGGTTTTGTATTCCAGATTTCCAAGGATAAGTGGAAAACACAAGTAGATCCCCGTATGAAAGTCGCATGGTACGCTGAGGACTTGAACAATGACACCAAGGTACGTTATGGCTTCAAGTTGAAACATTATACCAGGACCATTAAAGAAGAAATTACACCTCACCATCTACGGGTATTTTATGAACTCACAACGTCACCAGCTTCCAGCTGGCTTGATAGCTCAGTTGGTAGATCACAGCACCGGTATCGCACAGGTCACGTGTTCGAATCCCGTTCAAGCCTGAATATTTTTCAGGCTTTAATTTCACAACTGCTTAGGTTGTGTATATAACTGCGATGATCAATCAAGTACATCATGTCTTCAGAAATTACGCTACGAGACAAGATTCTCTTTCTGGACCTGTCAGAAAGTAGGAATCCAATTTTTACTCTCTTCTAAGTAACGACATTTTGTACGTCCATAGTTTTCCCGACAGTAACGACCCATCCAAAGGTACCCACTACCTGCAACTTGCTATTTCGAAGGTAACCACCGCACCCCACCCCCTTAAAGTATCAATCGCACACCGTAAGGAACGGCCTCGGGGAAACATACGAAAATTATTTTCTCCAAAGAATAAATGACTATACTATTCGGGAGTGAAAACCTTGCGATTCGTCACCTTTTTGATAAACATCTATATTTCCGTCTAAACGTAACAATAAAGTTTATGATGATGATGAAACAGCCTTTATACCCAACTTGTGTTTTTTTCCCAATTAGAAGGTAAAACGATTGCGAACTTGCTGTGATCTACATCCTCGTTTCAAAACGTTGTGTTACCAACATGCCACTTTTTAATGGCTGCTTTCTTCATGTCCTTGCAGATTGAATACGAGATTGACGAGATCCAACTGAACTACCTACAACTGCTAAGTAACCACGCCCAACAGACCTTCACCTTCAGATGTAAAAACTCGGTGGCCTGGTACGACGAAAGCGCGCGCAGCTTTAAGAAGGCGGTCAAGTTTGAAGGTGTCAGCGGTCACGAGTTTAGCTCTAAATCCAAATCAAAGAAAGCTATGATCAAGGTTCCATATGACGGATGCAAGGTAATACTATTAGCACTCTCCAGGATTGAAATCAGAAAAAAAAAAAAAGAAGAATCTTAAGTTCCGCATGGTAACTTTCATTTGAATGGTCACATACAATGGTTTCATTCACAGACTTAAAAGTTAGAACCACCTAGCACAGGATAATAAACAGTGCCACATGAAAGTACTGCTCAGTAGCTTTCATTTGAATGGTCACACACTAGGAATTGATTCACAGACTAAAAGCTAGAACCACCTTGTACAACATAATAAACAGTATCACATGAAAGTACTGCTCAATAGCTTTTACTTGAATGGTCATACACTATGGTTTTAGCCACAGACTTAAAAGTTAGAACCACCTTGTACAGCATAATAAACAGTACCACATGAAAGTACTGCTCGATAGCTTTTATTTTACGAACTGATTCTTGTGATCTAGGATGACCCTTCTCCCCCCTCCCCTGTGTCTTACCTCTCCTAATAAGATATTGCTGTTCTCCTCAGGTGAAGGACGGAGCACTACACGACACGCAATTTGTGATAACTAGCACCCAGGCCTCCCGGCTCCCTGTTGTAGACTTTGCCGCTTATGATTTAGCCGGTGAACTAGAAGTTGAAATTGGCGAAGTGTGTTTCTGGTGAACTGTGTATAATAACTAGGGACTGTTCCCGCTGTATTTTATTAAACAACAGAACTCTTGGTAGATGTTGTGGACGCAAGCTTACTATTATGCATGTTTAGTTTCGTGTTTCGAAGGAAGTACTTTTTATTGTTAAATATTGTGTCTTACCGTGCCATGAAATGTGATGTCAGTTCAATTCCCTAAGGTCAGCAGATAAATAAAGGATTATTTTTGCAATCGCAAGCGATTTGTAATGCGTAGCGACAAATAACCAATATTAGGATTGTTAATAATGCATAGCTTATGGAAACTGGGCAGTGTTAACGCAAAAATAAACTTGCTGCCCTAAACTAGCGAGGTTTTTTCTTGTTTCTATGTGTGTACAACTTTCCACACAAGAATCTGACATTTACAGCTAGAGAACAAATCGCCTCAACTTAAGTGTTTTTATATTTTATCTTTGATCTTTTCTTATTTGTATGAACGAAACGTTGTATTCACAGCTAGAGAGAATTCATTATAAAGTAATTATTAAATGCTTGAGGAAAGAATGACAATTTCATGTTAGGGGTACACGTACAGCAGAAGTTTACGCGAAGACAATCCACCCTACCCACTCTACCCAAATATCTTGTTCCGCCATCGTCCTCGAACATTAACCTGAACAGCTAGACTTGCACAATCATCTAACAGTCAAACCGACTGGTCGAGATGATAAAGAGGATTTAAAAAGCGTAAAATAAAACAGAGAAAAGTCGAGAAGCAATTCCTTTAGGAGGAAAGCAATAACAAGCGAAGCCTTTCCCCGGTTTATCGCCTCGATAGACTAGGCGTGGCTTTTTATAGAAGATTTACGAGCCTTTGTTGTGGAAGACCACAAGGAAGGTTTGTGGGATAGCCAATAGTGTACTCCATTGATTTATGTGCTCTTCCGATGCTGAGGTCCAATGGAGTAATTGACCAATTCATAACGCGCGAAATCGTTTTCCTTCGTTTTGTCATGTATCATGAACTTACAGTTGCTGTTGTGGATGAATCTGTGAAATCGAAGACTTCTACTCTCGAATCCGAACAGAAACAGTAGCTGTACTATTTTACTTCTTCTTCTAGCGCAGTTTCATTCCTTGAAGCCTTGAAACCGTTTTTAGACAGACTTGTTACGAGCAGTAAATCAAACGCCCTTATATGGTATGAGATAAACCGCAAACTGCCCTCCCCCGTCACTTGTTCTAGGTCATCCAACATAAATCACACCCAACTTCCTTTAATTTGCGGCAATTGTTACCAATTTTAATAAAGACAATAAATCATTTGCTAAATATAAGTATTTCTGTGGCTTCTCGGTCAAAAGATAACTCGGAATTTT